GTCGGGTTTGGGTTTATTCAAATAAGTCTGCTCCGAACTCAAGCTCAACTGGATAATAATTTATACATATTAAAACTTATATTTTAGACTATATAATGTTATTTAATATTCGTAATACAATCACAATACAATATCATGTGGAAAGATGCCAAATTCAGGGGGCGGAAGTTTCTCAATTCTGAGGTGGATTCAAAGGTTAAAAATCCCTTTAAAAAATACATAAAGTGAAATTAAATAACTTAATATATGATATAAATTATGAAATTTTACAGAGTTGGTAGCTCTATATGCGTAAAGTAATTAACTAATATATATTTGTTTAGTTATCTAATTGCATTTGAGATATCACTTTTTACATCAATCTGATTTTTATACCTACGGTTCAAAAAARTAATTCAAATAAGTGCTGGCTATGGGGTTCGAACCCATGCGCACTTATGTGCAGAAGATCTTAAGTCTTCCCCCTTGACCTCTCGGGCAAACCAGCACTCATTGTTACAAATGATAAAAATCTTAATATTATTTGCGATTGTTTTTCGTGTTAATGCTGTGCAAATACTTACCCTAACGCTTTACWACGCCCCCTCTTTTCGATCTGCATCCATCGATCGATCAGTAAGGACCAAGGAGTCGCTTCGTTTTTCGTCAGGTCATCTTCTAAGTTTCTCGACTGTGACTTCTTTATTATCTCTTATTTCGTTCGAGGGATCGAAAACAAAATAAGAGAGAAATCATGGCGGAACACTTGGCGTCGATCTTCGGAACGGAGAAAGATAGGGTGAATTGCCCCTTTTACTTCAAAATCGGCGCTTGCAGACATGGCGATCGGTGTTCGAGACTTCACACGAAGCCGAGTATAAGCCCTACTTTGCTGCTTTCGAACATGTACCAGAGGCCTGATATGATTACTCCCGGAGTGGATCCCCAGGGCCAGGCCATTGATCCTCGCAGGATCCAGGAGCAYTTCGAGGTTCCTAGTTCGTTTTTTTTTAATCTTATTAATCTAATCATTCCGTAGAGTTCTATTTTCTTTATTTATTACACAATTAGTGGTTATCTTTATTAATCGACGCTTGATTGCCTTCATTACTTTTCTGCTTTTTTTCCCGAAATTTGTTTCTCTTTTCCGTGGTCCATTGTTCCTTTTTCCCCGTATCTTTCAATTTTAATGGTGTTCGTGACAATTTCGGTCGCCTTTTTATATAAGAGGATGGTTAATATCTTAAGTCTATGTAGAATGTTTTATTCACTTATTTGGATGCTTCTTCTTAATGTTTTGGATGTTCTGTGCAATGAAGAGAAATTATCGTCTCAGCTGCTGGAGTCATATTCTGTTTGTCTCCTGTGCTGCATGTTTTTCTTAATGAATTTTGCAATTGCAGGATTTCTATGAGGATCTATTTGAGGAGCTGAGCAAGTACGGTGAGATTGAAAGCCTGAATATCTGTGACAATTTGGCTGATCACATGGTAATTTTCTTTGAATTTTCAGTCGTCTTCAGTTCTTTGCTTTAATAGGTCAAATTCATTTGTTTTATATGTTGTCAGGTGGGTAATGTCTACGTTCAATTTAGAGAGGAAGAGCATGCCGCCAATGCACTTCGCAACCTTACCGGGAGGTTCTATGCAGGTTAGTGTTTTCCTTTTAATTAAAAGTAGCTCTTATTTGATGAAGAGACAAATGTAACTCTTCTTAATACCCTAACTTCGGCCCTTCCGCTCAGTTTGGAAAGAGTACAAATACAAATATGCAGAGTRTGTCATCTTGTGTTTGGTACAGCTTCCACTTATTCACTAAACGTTTGTATTTGATTTGTTTGCAAAACCGAGAAAAGCAATATTCAAAATGTTTATCGACAATTAGGTGCGATTAGGCATCACATCAGCAAAACAGTGAATAAATGGCTACCCATTGGGGGAAGTGCTAAAATGAAGCTTCCCCAATTGTATACATGCACATAAATCGAGGCCTGCTTTTGCAAGTCTAAATACGGATCAGCATAGTGGGCGTAATGATGAAGTGGTGCCTGTGGCAGTGTTTATTGAATAAATTCCCAGAGTTTCAAACACCACCCTTGTATTTTGTATTATTTGTTATATATTTGCACTATACATATTTGTATTTGTACTTTTTTCAAACTCAGCCTTCATTATTAATACATGCCTGCTGTTTCCTCTCTCTCTCTCTCCTGAAATAATCTTCATATCCAATATGTTTACCCCACTTCATTTGATTATTAAGACAATGAATTGTTGCAGGGCGTCCAATTATTGTTGATTTTTCCCCAGTCACAGATTTCCGTGAAGCCACATGTAGGCAATACGAGGAAAATACTTGCAATCGAGGTGGCTATTGCAACTTCATGCATTTGAAAATGATTAGCAGGTGATTTTTCCTCAGTAATTTTCAGTCTTATGCAATAATAGTTTGTGTGGTTCTTAATATTTGGCATCTGATGCAATTTTGTTTCCTCATTGCCAGGGAACTGAGGCGGAAGTTGTTTGGGAGGTATAGGCGAAGGCACAGTCGCAGTAGAAGCCGAAGTCCCAACAAACATCGGAATTATGAGGAGCGTTCACATGGTGGTCGTGGTTTTGGCAGGCGGCATGACAACCGGGATCACCATTACCCTGATAATAGAGGTAGGAGGCCTAGGAGCCGAAGCCCCGGATGGAAGAGGGGAAGAAGCAGGAGCCCTGGGGGTAGGAGAAATAGGAGCCCAGTTAGGGAAGGTAGTGCTGAGAGAAGGGCTAAAATTGAGCAGTGGAACAGGGAAAGAGAACAAGCTGAAGCTGGTAACAAGGATAACATTGAAAGTGCTCCCAACAACAATGAAAGTAATGGATATGATGAAAATGGAGGGGAGTACTACAATGAGCAGCAGCAACAGCCACCGCAGCAAGGAACATATCACTACTGATCTATAGTTGTTATTCTGGTTTGTCCCTCACTCTAGTTGTAACTTTCTAGCTGTTTTAGGAAAAGAAGGTTGCATTTTTCTTTTACAAAACCCACCGATTTATTAAATATAGCTTACAGCCCATTTTCCACTGTGCAGGTGGTGTGCAGGTTCACAGTTCTGTGATATGGAAAGTAAAACCCATTGTTTCTTCTTTCCACGAACCACCATAGTATTGCCCAACTTGTGTGTTTGAATGCATGTTTTGTTTTGTGTATACTCCTGAGTTCTACTTTTAACCACACTAGAAACCCCAGCAAGGCTATTTTCCCTTTCTCCCAATAAGTTCCCTTCACCTTTTTCTTTTTCCTTTTTTTTTACGTGTAGCTGGATTGTATATTTATAGATATCATGGGACCTTCCCGTGAGGCTTCCTTTGTGGGAAGTGGGTTCCAAGTTAAGGGTTACCCCTGTAGACTGGTCAGACATCAAGGTGTGAGTCAAATATGAGGTGCATGCATTGTATAAGATTTGTGGTAAATTATAGGAAGTTAGGAACATAAACCTCATTAACCTTAGTTTATTAAACTAGTATTCCATTTTTTATCATGGAAGTAATTGGCAGTTGGGAGTAAATTTGGGAAGAGAGAGAGAGTGAGAGAGGAGGAAAGTAGGAGAATTGCCTATTGGTACCTGTTCTACAGTTATGGCTATTTCAGAACTATGTATTCAGCTTTGTGTGGCCCTGCTTAATATAATAGCATAGATACATATCTCAGATTCTTCAAATCATACAAGTATATATTTTATTATATCTTTCACTTAATAATTCATATAAAAAAATTCACTTACCATTCTACCTCCACTCATTTTTAGTTAGTTTCATTAAATAACAAGGTGCTTACAGAGACAGGTCTTCTATATAGGGAGGTCCTGACATTTACCTCAAATTTATTAAAGTGATGGTTTCGGAGTATCAATTAAGAGCATGTTAAATACCAGCTACTCTTCTATCGGAAGTATTTAACTGTGTTTCTTTGGTTTTCTCATTCAATTAAGCTACAACGTCTCTGCAGAAAGTAAGTTTTAATGAAGAAAGCTTCAGAGTTTTCTTAAGAAAATCCCAAGGTGTCATAAGGTGGATGAGACCTACAAAAAAAGATCTTCAACCCAAAAGTTTTCATTTAAATGACAGCTATATTTTTTCCTTGTAAATTATCTATAGTGCAAGAGAATAAGTTCAAAAGGTAAAATGGGTGGATAGGCCTGTATTGCTATTTTAGAAAGGACACCTGTTTTTTCTTGCCAATCAACACCTTTAAGATATTTTTTCAAAGATTTCTATTCTTTCATGTTCTTTTAGTTTCTTTCAATTTCTTATGTTCTCCTGACAACCAAATTGAACCTTGCGGTGAACTATTTGGGGGTGAAGAATGCTTTTATGGTTGCCTGCTTGTATCTCTGTGTTCATGTCTACCATGATTACGTAACCATTCTCTGTGACTACTGCACAACCAGGATAGCAAATTATCAGGTTTCCCATGGGTCTTACTCTAATATGGAGTTTATCTTCATATGTTCTTTCCCAAAAAGGTCGTGAACTTACGTACTTTGAGTTTTGCAGGTTCAGGTATCCTTGCTCAGGATCCAGCCTCATTTTTATGGCAGCTTACCATGAAATTTGTTTACAGGTTGGGTTGCATTGCCAGCGGAGTGAGAGTAGACAGGATTTACAGATTGCATGCATGGTACATCTTCAAAAAAGCTCAGTGAACCTCCAACAAAATATATGCCTGGAAGTGGAAGGTAAGGCCTTTGTTGTACGTGTACATCATTTTATAGTAGTTTGCAGGTTCTCTCCGGAGGAAAACTACGTGAATCCTCATCCACATTCAAACTAGACTTTTGGGGTTGAATTTTGCACTTGACGATTTGTTGTTAAATCCATTTCAGACATTTTGAAATTTAAAGTACTTTTGTTGCTTTACCATGCCCCTTTTTAGTTTTTTTTTTTTTTTTTTTTACTATGTCGTGGATTGATTATTGGTTATTGCTTGCCTAGTCTAAATCTTATTATTTTATTAAATTTAACCAAGTCTGTGTTTTGGCATGTAATTTGGTATGCAGAAAGCTCAAAAGACCAAAAAATGGTATTTTCATGTATCGTATGATGACCGAATGACCTGAAGTGAAGATTTTGGTCTTTCCACATTGAAAATAGCGTTTTCATCTCTGTTTTTAACAACCCAGTATTACCAAGACGCTTACCTAACCGTCTTGGTCTTTAGGACAAGACCCCAAAAGCTCACTGCATATTCGCATCTATCGGGCTGTCAAAAAGGTAATCATGTACCTAGAAAGACTTGCCTACAAAAACTTGCCAAACGCCACCTAAAAAGAATATTCACCGAGCCTTTGGCGACTAGAGGAAGTTGCCATTTTTCATCGCTTGCGAAACAGTTGATAATGGGTAACAGGGTAAATGAACCGACAGTCTGACACCATCAGGGTCGTTGTAGTTACTTCGGTAATGCCATAAAACAAATTCCATATCAATTACGCCCATTCGCCGAATTCTCATTTCATGACTTTGACAGACATTGGAGGAAGCTCTACGAGATCTGAAAATGGTAACATCTAACAAGGCTTTATTTGTTTAAATACTAAAGCTAAACAACGATTCCCTTGGCACAGCAGCAAAAGTTTGTGCTGTGGAAATATGCACGAGTAAACTACTATATTGATTCGTATATGCAGTGTCGTAGTTGCATTAATCTCTGTTAAACATTTACAGAAAAGTTAAGGGACATTTGGGACCTATCACGTGGGTTGATGGACAGAAGACAACAAAACCTAGTTACCAGTTGCCATGGTGGTCTCCCGCCTCCACTATTGAGGGCCGAGGACGATTCGCTCTCTTGCAAAATAGATGCTTCCTGCTTGGGGCCTTCAACCTAGAGAAGAAAAAACTCGGAACCTTTCTCTTTATCTCTTTGGTGCCAATTTAATTTGATGATTTAATGTAACCAAAGTAATTCAATAAACATCAATTCACTTGCAAACGAGTTCATAAAAAAAATCTCAAACGAGTTGAATCATAGCTTGCTAAGAGTTGGATAAAACATAGATAGAGACCACTTATGTCTAATCGAATGTCAAAAAGCCGTGGTAAGAATAGCTACCGAGATTTAAACCTGGCAGTAAATGAGAACAAACAATAGCCGCCGAGAAATTTCCCGATCGTTTTCTGGATGGGAGCCAAATGCCAATAAAGGCCAATAAAGGCCCAAAATGGCAATGCAATTGGCCATCTTGGTAAACATTAGACAGGGCTGCGTATTGCATGGTACATTCTGCAGAATAAAATTGTAAACCATGCAAAGAAAAAGAATAATAAATATAATAAATTCATGGATATAAATTAAATTTAATTATCGAACTATTTAACAGAAACAAAGAAGTATAGTCTCTCCCAACAGATGATGTTCCAATTACTACACTTTTTTGTAACAAAAACCTCTATCAAAGTCTAGTTGAAACCCCAAGCATGGACACCGCCCCTGTATTTTTTTCATCTCAAAATCAACAAAAACTACCAAAAATTAAATATGGTGCATATAGGGCGATCCTTCTCTTCAATTGTCACTGTGCTTGGCCATTTTGTGGGCTTTTAGACCTTCTTCGGTATAAAATGTCCTGTGAAGAAATCAAAACCATTAAAAATTTCAACTTCGKAAAGAAAAAACAGCAATCCGAACAAAACTATTCGAAACAAAACAAGCAGACCTATTGCAAGATTGGCAGGAAACTTTATCGGCAGATTTTGGAGTCTGCTTCTGTTTTTTCTCACTGTTGGCAGGAGTCTTAGAAGACTGTTTGTTCGGGTGAGGTGTTGCTGTATGGCCACCACCCTTCTTGCCATCTGGCCCCAAAATCATATTTCACTCGTAAGGAAAATACAAGCAGATGGTTATCAAGGCCTAGGCAACTGACAGCTCCCCTCTTATCAAAGCAAAATTTCCACCCATAAACATCCAAACTAACAAACCATCCCATGCAAATTAAAATTGACACTGAAATTATTGCTGGAACATTCCCAAGGGGGAATTTCCACACTAGAACAGTCAACTAAAAATGAAAGCAACGTTTTTAAAGSAACCAGAATAAAAAACAAAAGCAACACCTGTCTTCTGTGGTGTACCCAACTTTGCCTTTTTCTCTGGAACCGGTGTTTTTGTAGCTGATTCTGCAGCTCTCTTCTTGCCCTGTTCAGTCTTCTGCAAAGAAATAGAAACATGTGCACATATCACTATTTACTGCAAACCTTATCAAGAGAACAATAATAGACGGCATCATTATAAGCACCTTCTTTGGAGTCTCCTCATCTTCCCCTTCAGAGCTTTCCTCATCTTCATCATCTTCGTCACTCTCATCCCCAGCACCAAGCATGTCCTGACCAATAAATAAGCCAACAATTTTCATCATCCAAAATGCCAAAAAGAGACACTACTATCAAGACAAATAAATTAAGTATGACAAAGTACAAGAGAATGGCATAAAATCATTTCTTCAAGTTACATGTGGACCACTAATTCATGATGAAATGTCATGCAGTGCAATGAAAATGTCTGATAAGAATATAGAAACTACCTGCGCAAGGGGAAATTTTTCACAACAAAAGTTCCTCACTTCTATGAAATTTGACAGATAGGTAAATTTGGAAAGAAATGAAAAGAATAAGGGTTTGCTTGGTTTGAGCTCAGGAACAGGATCAAAAACTGAATCACCTATTCCCACCAGTTGGTTCAGACAAGAATCAGAATCAGATTCTGATTGTTTCTGTTTGATTCACCTAGAAGACAGAATCAGAATCAAACAAAATTACCAGATATGCACCAATTTTAAACTATCAATGAAGGGACATGATTAGAGATTTAAACTTCATATACATCCTATCCTTGATGTTTGCATTACATAGAATGCGTCCACCCAAGGGATTTAAAAATTAAAAATAAAACATGTAAAAAACAATATTAATTCCCAAGGGCATAAAATCCTACCATGTACTGTAACTTGATAAATTGCATTCCTCGATGGGAAAATCCAAGCAACATATTATATGTAATAAAATTAATATATAAAAGCTACATAAGGGTATCATACTAATGGGGAATGTTACCTCATCATCAGATTCATCTTCTTCAGAATCATCAGATTCATCACTGTCATCAGATTCATCCAACTTGGATTTTTCACCTTTTTTTGGTTCCACAATCTTCACTTTTTGTTTGACTGCAGAAACATCAGGCTTAGAAGCTTTAGACTTGTCTGCAGATGCCTTTGGTTGTCCATCCTTCTGCTCAGGCTTTCCTGAAGATTAAACAAAAGAGACATGTGAGAAATAGATATCACCTAAATATTAATTTTAACATCTTGTGCAATAAACATCATTCCCACCATTCTCAGTTGCACTGAGTGGAAGATCCTCAAAGTCAGAATCATCGGTATCTGGAAGATAAAAATATAAACCAGTAAGTGACAATGGAAACATAAGAAACAGAACAAAAAGGGCAGAGAAGCTAAATTTAGGACTCACCAGAAAAATCCTCTTCCGTAAAAAAGGCAACAAAATTGTCAAAGAAACAATGCCAGTTGTGTATTATCAAAATGAAATGAATAAATTATAAGACAAAAACAATTAAGCATTATAAGAAAATTATATTTAGGATATTCATCAGGAATCACAGATTTGTATCCACAGAAGTAGACACTCCCATTTTTCCAATTGTGAGAAAGCTCAAACTCTTTGTCAAATACCAAGTCAAATGACAGTTGCATGCATTTATCTGGAGAAAGTGTTCCTATAACAAGCTTCTGGCCCCCAATCTTCACGAAGAGAGGAACAKAATCATTTCCTTTATTCTTTACCTCACCAAGAGATGCCTACAAACAAACAGCATAATTTTTAAATTACATGACCAGAACTTACAACACAACAAGATGGCAATAAATCAATTCATAGACACCTGTGAAAGGTGCAACAGTTTTTCATCAAGTTGGACCTTAAGAGGCTCTCCAGCTTTAACTTCAACACCTGACATAATAAATTAACTGATTAAAACATTATGAAATCAAAAAAACACAAGACAGATAAAATTGCAAATAATGCAGGCAACAACCAGTTAGGAGTGCAAATGGGCTAGCTGATTATCTTGCTAAACAAAGGGCTTTGAGGCAACAATTGTTTTGGGCTGCAATGTAAAGTGGGACAGAAATATGTAATAGTGTGGGAGCATTAATCCCGTACACAAAGCTGTAAAACCTTATTTTAGCCCTTACTTCAAATAAAATTCTCTTTTGCTGATAAAAAAAAGGAAACAACCAAAAACCAATTAAAACAAAACACCTACAAAACATGTATGTGGTGAATGAAACACAAAATATATTTAATGATTTATTTGGAAATTAATTAATCTTCATAAATAAAGCCACCACAAAATAAGCTAAACCTCTATTCTAAACAGGATCAAAAAGATGAAACATGACTGGACGGAGAATATACAAAGACCCAATACAAATACAGTGCTTAATTACTGTGCAACAAAATAAGAATGTCATGAAGAATTTGCAAAATAATGGAATTGACTGATCATATTGTACTAGTGAGGAGTGAAGTGCTAATGATGACAGCCAAACACAATAATAGATGGAGAATTGAAATGTGGAACACAAATTGAACAGCTATTGTGTATGATTCTGTAACATGCAGAACAGACAATTAGATTATCATCATATTAGAACTCCACTTTCCAAGTATTGTGGTTCCACCATCTTAGCACAGTTCTTGACCATCATGAGTAACTGCCTTCTTCAAAATACATTCATTTCTGATTTCACTGAACACCTAATGACATCAATAATCTTTCCTTGTCTATTGGGCAAAACATCACCAGGCATAGCTTTCATTTTCATAAAGTAAATTGACCATGGTGAGAGCTTAAAAAATGACTGGTAAAAGAACACCCAGAGCATGATAGGTTACATAATGACCAATATTGGATTAACCATGAAAACAGACAAATTGACTCATTGTGCCTTCTATTTGCTTAGAAATATAACCCATACACAAAAGCTAATCTAAGGAAGCTATCTAAGCAATCAAATAGCTGCATAAGGGACACCCTCCACCTGCCTCAATGCAACGGTATTGATAACCACTGCTGCATTGAACTTAAGACTGCTTGAAATTTATTCTTTTGGTATTATACTATAAGTTTAGAACTTCCAAATGAGGTAGCAAAAAGCCACTTTACTTCTCTCCGACAAAGTAAACAGTGGGAACATTACAACAACCACCATCATTTGCATTAATGAAAAAACATGAAACCAAAACTTTACAGAAGGAGAATAAAATATCTTGAAATGAAATTATGAACTATTTATCAATAGTTGTCACATTTCATGGATAATGAGTTTTGGTCAACCATCAACTGACTTTAACTAGAAAATAATGTAAACAAAAATCTAGACCAAAAACTGAGTCAAGAAAGGCTTTTCTTACATGAAAAGGGAAAAGAAGCTGGAAACTACAATTGGAGTCCCGTATTTTAACCAGAACAAGATATATAGCAAAGCATTCAACTCATTAGAAAAATAAAATAGGCCATGCTTAATTCAAAATGCCACCTCATCAAAATTCAGTACAAGCAGGAGACATGAATACTAAACATTACTACTCCGTAAACGATCATAATTATTCTCTTTTACAAGTGGCAGGATCAATGATAAGCCTCCTTTCCCATACCATGGAAAACAGAGACCAGAGTATAAATTGGCTTACCGAGGAGTGCAGGAATATATTAAAAATTAACAAATTCTTAGGCATGGTCAGACATTAAGAAGACTCTACCACCTAAAAAAGAACACAGTGGGCAAAGAAACAGTAGAGATATATGACTGAAAAACAACAAATAAACAAATAATGGAAGTATTAATGGTTAAGCGCCAAAATAAGAATCCACCATGAATTCCGAAAAAAGGATCTAAAGTAAACACAAAGTTTATGAAAAAGCAATAGTCATCCAAACCCTTGTATACAATTGCACCGTACAACACATTATGACACAAAAATCAAAGAAATGATAGGATGTAAATCAATTTTATGAAAAACAAAAACGATTCTTTTGAAATGACTTCGTTTCGAAGGCCAAATAACACGAATAAGAAATGATCGAATGAAAACCACAAAACACAGCGAAGAACCGAAACACCGGCAGATAAAATGTCAAAAGACAGAACCTACAAGTTTCTGTAAAACCCACAAGGACAGAAACCCTGAAATCAAACACAGCAGAATCTAACCAGGAAATCCGTGCATATTATGAGAACACTTCACTACGTGCATAGTATAAGAACCAATAAATGAGAAAAATACAAAAATACAGCAACCGGATGATAACGCAAAACATAAGAATCTTAGTATGAATCAACAATAGTGCAGAGCAAGAGAGCCTTACCCCAAAACTCCATTATCAAGATGAAAGAGAATATTACGAACAAGGAGAATAGGGTTTTGGGAGGGTTCCAGATAGAGGGCTAAATGAGGTTTTTCCGAGAGGAAGCAAGCTTTAGGGTTCGAAGGCAATTTAAAAGAATTCAGGCGAGGGGAACCGGAGAAGTTATGATTTAGTGATGTGCACACTATAATATTATTTTGTTTATACCACTTCTGTAATATCACAGCCGATAGGATCTGCTTGAGATGGCGCTTCGTGTTAAGGATACCGGATCTCCTAAAGAAAAAAATCGTATAACCCTCTGACATCATACATCCATCCGCAAATCGAGAATATCTCCTGCGCAAGTTTTTCAAATTCACCGAGAAATATTCTCGATCCGCCACTGAAAATACGTCGCTGTAGCGGGAATCAGGCTATGACTGTAAGCTGATTATTCCAAAACCCCCGTAGGCCCTAGCCCACCCACACCCAGCTTCGTTGCAAATTTATAGGCTTGGGCCAGATTTTGTTTTGAGGTCCAGAACTGTTGGGCCACGCCTAAGCCCAATACTTCACTTCGGATGCACATAAAAATCAAGTATGGTACGGTAAATTATCTAATAAATTAATAACTATCATTATCTATATATTATTTTCGCTTCATGGGGCTACACAACTGGAGTAGCCCATCCCCTTTCCCTTAACCCCTCTGACCCATGGTGGCAGCGGGATTTGATCCCAGGTCTTTACTTGATGAGTCAAAGATACTAAAACGGGATTTCTTCTTTATTTAAATCGAAAACTTTCAGCCCCTTTTCATTTTAGTCTTCTTTGTTTTCTCATCAAGCCACTTCATCACTCCTTTCTTCCTCCTCCATTTTGACATCTCGTCCCACTTTCCTCTATGTTTATCCTTTTAGATATTCCTTCATAAAATCTCTCTACCAAAATTTAATCTAATTTAGTCTAGTGGCATCACTATCCCTCACTTTCTCCTAAATTATCTATAATTCTTATTTATCTCCTAAATTATATATAAATCCTAATTATCTTTACTTTAATAGAGAATTTATCTCTTAAATTATCTCTAATTCCTATTTATCCAATCTTCCACATTTCATTTATATCCTTTAAAAATGCTTGAATTAAAAATTTTAAGAATTATTTAAATATTATAATAAATTTATGTAATAAATTTAACATATTTATTAAAAACACAAAAAAAATATATATCATAGATTTAATAATTGGACAAATTTATTAAACTACCTTTATAATTTAATTAATTGACTAACTCTACCTTTATTGTTTACATATTATCTTAAAATACCCATTATTACTAACAATTGTCTAAAACCTAATACTGTCATTTTATATTCACATGTAACATCACATGATTGATAATTTTTAAATTCCTAACATAACCTTCCTTGACCTTGAGACGAAGAACAGATCGTAAGAACCACTACTCCTTCAGATTTGGGCAATGGGCAATCAGACACTCGCCCCGCCAAACCACTCCCCATCTTCCACTACAGTTAAACCAAGGACACCGTCTGAATTGCCTTCCGCTGTTCTCCTCAGGTTGTCGCTAGGCCTTACCGACTGCCTCAAGCTTCTTCGCTTCATCGGAATCCAAAACCACTCTTCTCTCTTTCTTCATCATTGGTCTGGTCAGCAGACTTGTACGGAGGGTCCAAGGGAATGGTGGGCTTCAGTAGGAACCGAATTGGGTTACTTGCAGCTTCCAGACTCCAGTAGCGTTGAATTTCGATCGGAAGTTCGTCATCTACTTGGTCTATTGGAGGTTCCATGGAGAATACGACGGATTTTCTACTCTCAAGATCAAAAATCAAAGAAAATCTCTTGATTCTCTTCTTTTCATGGAGAATGTGCACGCACGGACATATGACGGACTTGCTACAGACGACGAATTTCTTGTAGTATTGTCGCTACACACGCACGCACGGACGGACATACCCAGATCTGAGTTCACCACCCACACCCAGTGCAGAGGATTTTTGTTGGACTTGTTTAGTTGATAAGAACAAGCTACCCATCAATCAACATTGAACGAGAAAAAACAGGGGAACCGCCCATAGCACTTGTATTGTCCATAATACACGGCACTATCGACACACCAAACAAGAAAATTTGTTAGGACTGTTAATCTTCTCAATCATCCAATTAAAACCAGCTGGGTTGATCGACTTGTGGCATCAGATGAGATATACCTCTGTATGGTTGGGTCGCCCCAGTCATTCCATCCCTGAGGTAGTATCACACTTGACATGTAGATTAGAGCAAAAACCACCCTAGGGTAAGGACATCTTGGCCTTCCCAGGACAGAAATTCCCAAGAGTTGGCTGGCCATGCAACCTCTCAGACGCAGAAGCCTCACCCTTTCTCACCAAAGGCATGATCAGTGTGATTTCAATGCAGGAAAATTTATGGGTTTTCTTACTTGAAAAATGACGGTATTGAGTTTGCAGAGGGGTTTGGCTGAACGATCATAAAAGACTACACGACAAATGAAACTTAGATCTATCTACCTGGGTTCAATGCTTCTAGTTTTATTATTCTAATAATCCATTTGCTGATCTGGGTTATTGCAGACGATGAATGAAGCTCCTGTTTTATTTGTAACCCACTTCATTAGTTTCTCTTTGGACCCGGACTATCTTATTCTTATTGAAAATTTTCAATCGGTGGATTTTATTTTGAAAATTTGAAGAATAGTTAAGGGCAAGTTGGACATTTCATTTTTTCAGACTTTAAGAAAGAAACAATAATACTGAAGTTCATCATTTGATTCCTCATAATAATGGGCTGCGTTTCTCTGATCAAGAGATAGCTCTTCCGACCATATCTCCGCCTGGCTTTAGAGTCTCATTATCGTTAGAAGGCGTACTTTAAGACAATACGTAAACAGGAAGGGTAGAGTTATTGAATTAACTAACTAAACCAAAAGGATAGTTTAAGAAATTTGTCCTTAATAATTTTACTTTTATCAAATTCATAACGAAATCATGTACTAATAATATAAATTATAATTTTATGAATTATTCAAATAATAAAAAATTAAATTTAAAAAATACTATAATTTTGAACCAAAAAAGCCGAATTCTCACCCCTACTCTTATGTGCATTTAGTGTTTAGCTTTCACTAAACAAAGCATATGCATCGTATAGGTCCCTACTTGGTGCAACTTGAGTGGGTTAGGTCCGGTTGAGAGTTAATCCAATCCTAAGTCTCATGTCCCAACCTCAAGCTTTGTCCAATTCAAGGTTAGCTTGAGTTTACCAACCTAAGCTCAACTCAACATTAACTAAGCATCTCGGGCTTAGGGATGACAATTTCTACTCTACCTGATGTGTATCCACCCCTACCCACCTTGACGGGGTGGGTTTTTAGGTTTGAAGGATGGGTTTTGGGGCAAGTCGAGTTTTGAGATTCTACAACCCATACGTTACGGGTAGGATACGGTATTAGGCTAAACCCGAGCCCCTCAACCTGCATATTGTTGGAAAGCATATAAACTTTTTGTACTTGGTGTGGAATTTAATAATATTTTGAATTAGATGTAAAGGATGATTGATGGTTTATGTGTTATTTTACATCTTAATCAAATAATTGGAAATTTTATTGTTTATTTATATTATTTTACTTATTTATTGCTTTTATATAACAAAAAAAAAGGAAATTAAATGTGGGTGTTAAACCCAATCCATCCCTACATTTGAATACGGGGAGGGTTTAGATTCTCAAAATCCAACCTGTTAGGTGGATAAAGTCTAGAATTTACAAAACCCTCCCCTAACCCACTCTGTTGCTATCCCTACTCGAGCTTGGGTATATATATACATGCATGCATACATACATACATACATAAGCCCAATCTGAGTTTAGTTTAGGCCCGAGTTTTTTGGCTCAAACCCAATCAGTGCAAAAGCTTTTGATTGAATTGGGTGCACCCAACTTGCACCCCTAGCTCTATTGCTTGAAACTTTTTTAACAAAACCCGTGCAATCTCTGCTAGTTTTCACTCAAATACAATACTTTTGAGTACAGTACTTGAACAAATCATAGATTTTGGTTGTATTTGATACCGTTGTCGTTTCTCCGTGAATTATTTTGGATTTTTTTTGAAACCAAATTTTTTTGGGTTGATCAATACAAATTAGTGAGGGATATGCATTTTCACATCACATATGGAAGTCATTTCAGTTGGAATGATTTGGACTCATCCCTATCACTGTATTTGGTTGCAATGCAAATTTATTGTACTACTACAAATGCATGGGAGTGTAAATATAAAAAAAATGCAAATTCTTGTTTACTTTTGTTTTAGATTTTACTTTATTCTGCTTCATGTCTTAATTTACTTCATTTGTACTGCAGTCAAATAAAATTTGAAGCAAAAATAGGCCAGAACTTACACTCAAATCATTTGCACTGCCATGGTTTTGCATCAGTGCAAATTTATTTTCATTGCAACCAAACACAGTATGGAACAAATGATCAGTCCCATACATGCATTTTTTAAGCTATGCATGCTTCCATTATAACCATTCTCAAATAAAAGTTGTATACCATGATACGATGTGTATTGATCAACCCTAAGGTTATCTTTGATTTGAAGGAAAAGAGTTTGAAAGWAAGGGAAACATAGGGAAACGGGAAACCTATACAAGGTTTGTAAATGTTTTCCTACATTTCCCTTCCTTTCCCACAGCCTTAAGTAGAAACAACATTTGTTCCAAATGCAGCCTTTGAGGCAATTTGAAATTTGTCATTTTTCTAAGATAAATTACTTCTGCTTACCTAATAATCCATGCCCCATTGGAACACAAAATTAGTCATTTTTACTAGAAAATGCCTTAAATAATAAAATATTTGTTTTTCTCTAAAATATGTTTTTTAATTGATAAAAGTACTATCGTTTATAAATATCAAATGCAACTTTACCATCTCAACATTTTTTTCATTATACTTTTCTTAATCCATTTCAACTTATGGTCCCTCTAAGAAATATATAAATGAATACAATTTTGGATGAGCAATATGTGGTCACAAAAAATAATCATTTTACCATAAAATGCTTTTAATAATAAAATATGAGCAATATGTGGTCACAAAACATCCAACGATTTTGGCCGTTTATAATTTTTTTTATTTTTTTATTTTTATGTTTATTAGAACAAGTCATCCATTTGGTTCGAACGGTAAGACCATTTGACCAAGAAACCGGACCCCTGACCGGTTCATTGTTCGATTCGATTTTAAAAACCTTGGTTTTAGGCTGATAAATTTGGATTATGAGATCATCTTGTTGGGTTCAGGCCAAGGGCCCATCTTTAAGGTTGGTCTTAGTTTTGTCATTAATCTCACCCAATCCATCTAATTGGCACCATGGTTTACTAAAGAATCAAAAAGGGTTCAAAGAGATTTAATGGGAAATGAGATATTTAAGGGAAAAGGGAAATGTTATAACCATTGGAGAGAAAAAAGGAGGGGATTTAAGAATGATTTTATTAGAGAAAATTAGAACTAAGGGCTTTTCTATTGTAACTTCAATGATTCAATTTAAAATAAATAGCTGACATGTGTGATGAATTAGAAGATGAGATATATGTGGGAATCTAGGTGACAGGTCTTTTGACCTCCCTCTTTCCTCTATACAAATTTTATATAGGATAAATGTATATTGAATTGTTCAAATGTCTAAATTTAACATTAGTTTTATGGACAAATAACAGCTCAAAAGTATGGCTGTCACTTATAATCGGTTTTGGTAGCCAAAAAAAAAAATTATAATGGGGTCTCCTTGGATCCAACCCAGTGGTCTAATTACAAAACCTATAGGATGTTGTTTGAAGTTGGTTATTCACATTTACTTATCAGGCAAGGACCAATTCTATCCTGAACCAGAGCAAATCCAACCCATTAAGACAACTAATCCCATGGCCATTGATATTATTCAAATTATGTTGAAGCCAACAAGGACAGAAAACCCAAGTCAAGTAAACTTCCTTCTAAGGCCTTGTTTGCTTTTTGGTAAGTTACTTATTCGGGTAAATGTAAGTCCTTCCTGTGAAACACTTATCTGGGTAAGTGTATTTACTCATGCTCTTTTATTTCCCATAAAAATAAGGCAATGACCATTTCAGCCATGAAAATCCATTATTACAAGGGGTATTTTTTGTCACATTCAAGTGTTGACAATTTTCCCTTAAGGTGGGAAAGTTATTTACCCACCTAAGAGAGATACCCAGGAAAATAAATTTTCCCTCTTCCCACATAAATCTGAAAAAAGAACATGGGATTTTTGGTCGATGGGAATCAAAATCCCATTGACCAACTTTCCCTCCTCTCAAAATCCAGAAAAATAACGCCCCCCAAATCCTATCATCTCAAGACGTACGATCAACAACAATCCCATAACAAAACTTCACCATGAATTCAAATGCATTTTTGCACCCCATGGAAGATACAAAAGACACATGTTGAAATTAAAGAAACCATGAAAAACCTATTATATATCAACCTTATATATATACAAGCTTTTGGTTTCCTTCTAATCACCCTTCACTTTATTCACAATGTCTAATCATTTGGAGTGCAATTAGGGTGGGTCAAACATGAGTCTTAGATCAATTCATTTCAAAATTTTATACGAGTTGGGTTTGAATTTTTGCTCATCAAGTTGGGCTTAGGCCCAAGACTTGTAGCTTTTTTTTTCCCCGGTTAAGCTTAGGCCTATCCCTTAGATACCTGAACTTGGCTTGAGCCCCACCCAACCCAAAATTTTACATGGATTAGGCTTGGATTTTTGGTCCTCAAGTTGGGCTTGAGCTTAACACTTTTGGCTTTTTTATTTTTCGGGTAGGGCTGGGCCGATCCCCTAGGTAACCTGAACCTGGCCTGAGCCCATGCCCAACCTGATTATACATGTTCACACACACACACACACACACACACACCACATGTGATAAGATCGGGCTTGACCCCGGCTTAGTCCGAATTTGGGCCTTAGACCCAAATCTTAAGATTGGGTGAGTTGGCCATAAACCCAAATCTTAAGATGTTATTTTGACGTGCCAAATCACCACCTTATCTATTCCAACTTGAAACCTCAAAAGGGTGATGGCTGATGTCAGACCCATTTTTGACATATTCAAACACATGGACCAATGAAATTGAGTCTAATAGGCTTAAAAAGCTCAAAATACTAAAAATAACTCAACTTAAAACTAGGAAAAGACAAAATAGCTTTTATACATGGATTAAATCTACATTTTTTGCCACTAATAGCCCCAAATATGAGACTGCCATGTCAAGTACGTTCCTAGCTTCCATTAGACACATAAAACCCGTGAAAACCACCCCCGAGTTGAAGACAATCTTTTACCAAAGAAGGAAGGTTGATTGATCACCTTTTTTCTTTAAAAAATCTTTGCCCATTTTCTTGTAAAAACCCTTTTGAAGCCTCTTTGATGAAATGGGTTTCAGACCTAACTCCCTCCCTTTTCCCTATAAATAGAGGGATGGCTCGAGCTTGGGGGGGGGG